CTTGTAACTTCCCCAACCTTTCAGCAGTGCAGGAGTTTATATAATACACTTCATGTAAGGGAGAGCTACCCCTTGTGAAAAACTAGTAACTATTAAACTTCAGCAATTTGCTGCCTTTGCTCAACTCAGCCTGATGCAAGAATATAATTCCTTTAAACCAGTGTTTCCATTCTTCCTTCATTACCTTCAGCTGAGACTTTCTCATGGAATTGCCTCAGTGTTTAATAGTGAGCTTCCCACATGTCAATAAGCAAGTTTGCTTGACAGCTACAGAATTAACTCCTCCACAACAAACACACTCGTAGCACCATCAGCCTCTGCTCATGTGCCGCTCAAACTCCAACCACTCGGTGCCTACCTGGCTCTGCTGGTTATCTTTTTGTTTCTGGGCCTCCAGGCTCCGTCTGCAGCTCCACTCCTTCAGGGCCTCCTGGACTTGCGGTGTCAGGGAGCCGGAGAATCGCTGCCCCTGTTCCAGGTTCTGGATTAGACACAGGCTAGCGTACACACTGGTCAGGTAGTAGCCACCTGGAGGCAACAACAAAGATGTAGGAGGGGGCAAAAATAACCACTATGAACAGTACAACTAATAAAAGAAACAGAATAACATCAGCAGTTAGAGCTGTGATGTATATTTGAGGAAAAATTGAGTCATAAACAAAGCTAATACTGGAACTCGTATGCTAAAGCGGCTATATGCTATTATTTGTAGTTAACATTTTATTTGTTAAGGACAAGTATGAAATATTTACTGTAAATCACAAGCAAAAACTTAATAGGTGGATAATCCTCAAATATAAGTTACACTAGCTTTCCTCCCAAGAGTTTGATGAAAATAAAGTTTCACTTATATTAAATAAAAAATTGGCCACACAAGTTTGAATTTATTTTAAATCTCTCTACTCCACACAAGATCAAAATTGTACTTCCGAGCTCAAATTTGTACATATACTCCCACTAATGTCTGTTAAACATGTCTTAGCAAGTTCCATCTCATCCACAGCCAATAAGTAATTGTCTATAAGTTTCAGACATAATTCTGTGTAAAGAATTGACCCCACTTCGAGTTGTTTTGTTTCCTGACATGGACCTGAGCTTTAAATCCCAGTTTTCTGCACACTTTTGAAAAATTATTTCCGAAGCCTTGATGTTATTCTGCTTTATCCATTCAGAAACCTGTTTTGATTTCTGCTTGGGATTATTGTCCTGCTGGAACATCTTAACTGTGTCCAACGTTTCAACTCACAAACTTTTGATTTGAGGTGAAAGATGATGAATAGGTAGAAACATCTGGCTCTAAATCACCTTGTTAATTCTGCTCACTTTGTGCTATAGTACCACAACATGATGCAATGTTCTTTTTGTCATTGTGGTCATACAGCTCAGTCTATGTCTCCTGTGACTATAAAGCTTTTTTCCAGAAAACATTTGGCTTGTCTATGTAAGCAGCTCTAAATTGCAATAGAGTCTGAAGGTGTTTTTGTAAGCAGGAGCTACTTTCTTGGTCAGCACCCTTTATTTTCTTGACAATGTGGAAGTTGCCTCTTGGACTTTGACACTGGTCTTCCAGTGGTTTCTTGTTCATGGCAGGTTTGTGTGGAGGGTGAAATGTGACTAAATTAAACCAGTAAATACATCATGAAATAAATAAACATAAATGTCCAATTAAAAAAATAAATGTACCAGGAAATAAATAAATGCACTCTGTATTGCTTCACAGGAGCCATGTATTAAATAAATACACAGTGAAATAATTAAATGCATTTTTAAATAAAAAATTTTTAAAAATTATGAAAATGACATTTAATTATTTAACGTAATTATTTGAAAGGTACATTTATTTATTTAATTTGACATTTAATTAATTAATTGTGTATTTAATCATTTAATTGTATATTTAGTGACTTAATGATGTATTGAATAATTAAATGACACATTTAGTTATTTAATGGGGCATTTATTGGTACATTTATTTATTTCATGGTGTATTTATTTATTTAATTTTTCACATTCCACCCTCCATATGTTTGAGCCTATGCAGTTCCTAGGTTGTTCTTGAACATCCTACCAAACTGTATTTCATCTGAGAATGACAAAAGGACTTCAAATTCAGTCACTAAAACCCCCAAAGTAATAACCCTACAAATATAAAAAAAAAAAAACATTTGTGCTCATGATGAGTCTATGTAAATGTCTGACTGCAACTTTATTTATGTATGTGATCAATTGCAGTTGATTTAAATGTACTGTATAAGTAAACCTGACTTTGTTTAACTCATTAATGATGTCTTTATTACATAGGGATAAGACAGTTAGCGATTAATTTAACAAACCAAAAGAGAACTGGCAACCTAGACAAAATAAACACAACACAGATCTTAACAGTCTGTATTTCAGCAGATAAAGTTTAGTGTGTAGGTAGTACCTTCACCACCAAGCCAAGAGGGTTCTAGCAGCTCCATCATGTACTCCACTTCTATCAGGATATGAGACCTGTTACATTCCACTATCACATAAGATAACGATGGAAGGAAGTCATCCCAGCTAACTTCCTGTCCTGAAAAAACAAGAAAGATACAACAGTAAAAGAATGGGCTACCATTGTTCCCATGGAGTTGATTGTTTGAGTTAAACTATTGAAATGCTCTTTTTGATTCATATGTATAGAATACCAAAGTTGCACCTAAAGCATACAATGAACTTTGAACCTATGGAGACAAATATGTAAAACCAACTTTGTCCATAGCAACATGAAATTTGGTTGTAAACGTTTTGAACATGCAACAGTCTCACCATGTAACGTCCCCATTGCCTTGTGGACCAGCTTGCACACTTGCAGCAGCAGGAGCACTTTGTCAATCGGCGAATGCGTCCTCTGCATCAGAATCAGCTTCTGCTTCACCCGCTCCACCCCCCGGCCGTCAGGGACCCCCGTCCGCACTCCGAGTCGCTCCATGGCTGCCTCCCCCTTCAGACAGAGCATGTTCTGCGTGAGGCGCTGAGTGGAGCCATCCTGATTGTGCAAAGCCATCAGGGCTTTTTCAAGGCGGCTCCTCAGAGGTCTGAGGATGCAGGAGAACATGGCCCTCTCCAATGCCAGGTCTGCAGGGAGAGAGGGAGGGTTCATTGTTTAAGGAAACTGAGATTGGAACACAACTGGAAAACTGCACTCATTGACTAAAATGGAAACAGAAGGAGTAGCAGAAGTGAAATTAAATGGCAGGGGTTGAAAGGTCACTTGACTGCAGTGCAGTGATCACATCAGATATGTTGAATAATGGACTTGGCAATACAGCCACACTTCTGGCCTCATGTCAGTAGGGTGTGGCACATCCTTAACCCCTGTATACTGTACATGTAGAAATCCTGCATGAAATAGAGTCATGCAGCTGGTGTTCTCCTGTGGCAAGTCAGCCCACAGCTGTTGAAACTGATTCTTGAAATCAAGAAGATTGGCACTTGGTCAGCGTTGACGTCTGAGTTGAGCAGTATGTGTAACTGAAGAAAGGTCTGGTGAACTGGCTGACCACAAGAGGACCTTAACATAATAATTTTATGTGTTGCATGTGGACAGGTGTTGTCTCATTGAAAGATGGTATCAGAGTGGTGTCTGAGGAGGGGTAAGACATCCAGACACAGAATTTTACTGACATATTGCTGTGAAGTCAGAATCCTTCATATCACTGCTAGAAGTGAGCAGAAGTCAAATCCTATGGGTCCCCATGCCATGATTCCAGCAGTAATGCTGGTGTGTCTTGTTGCAACATTAACAGGATTGGTCCTCTTTTCTTGGCTGTCATAAAAGCACACATTGTCCTCTGTGGTAACGCCAAACTGGAATTCATTGCTCAGTGCCACTGGTCATCCCTGCCTTTCCAGTTACAGCACCATGACATATGCAGATGCCTCTGCTCTGTTGTTCATAGCAGCTTACAAATGAGAGGGTACACTGGTGGATGCTAATAGTTCAGACACAATGTGGTGTTGAAAAGATTGTTTTATTATTATTATTTTTTTTTTTTTCAGTTTTAATTTTGTGTGAAGCACTTTCTGTTACACTTTGTTGTGTGAAGGGTACTTTATAAAGTTTTTGACTAACGGGATCTGTGATGCTTGGTCTATAATACGACAATCCTTGGTATGGTCTGTCTTGTGGAACTGGGAACTCCATATGTGTGGGTGCCCTCATTTATTTATTTGACCTATATGTAACCAGGTTAGTCAGTTGAGAACAAATTCTCATTTCAGATGACAACCTGGCTAAAAGGCAGCAAGTACAGGAGTGGGCGAACACCAGACGGACAACATGTTAACAACTGACAATCAAACATCAAGTTGTACAGACCCTGTGAAATGACAACAAACAAAGAGCTAGAACAGGTTTCATGGGACAACAGAGTAACAGAGATAGAGGAGGAAATTGCTATAAGCATGTGCAGCGGTCATCAAGTGATGCTTTCACTGAGTTTTTAAACAATGCAAATGGGACCAAAAAAGTAAGTTTTAAAGTTTGTTGTAGATGCTTCCAATTGTTAGCAGCAGAAAATTAAAATAATGAATGACCACATGAGGTGCATGCTTTAGGGATAGATAGGGTAATGTAGCTGCTGGAGCGGAGGGTATGCATGTTGCTACGGCTACTGAGTGACAAACGGCGGTAGGATGGAATTTTACCAGTTAGAGGTTTAGAGATCAGCAGAAACCAGTTTGTTTGTCTGTGGGAGTGAATAGAGTGCCAGTTCAACAGGAAGTACAGAGTGCAGTGATGAGTGCTGAAGGGAGTTTCAGTGGCAAATCTAATAGCTGTGTAGTAAAGAGTGTCCAGGTTGTGGAGGAGAGTTTTGGAAGTGGTTCTGTAGATGACGTCACCATAGGTGAACATTGGAAGGATCGTCATTTTTAGCAGATCTTTCAGCAGGTTGAGTTAGTGAGGATTTGTTTCGGAAGAGGAACCCTATTCTGAATTTGACTTTGGAGAGCAGATTGTTGATGTGAGTTTCGTATGAGAGTGAGGGATCAAGCCAAATCCCTTGGAATTTGTAGCTGCTGATAAACTGGATCTCGAAGCCATCCAAGGATTTTCTGAGTGCAGACAGTTTGAGGCAGGTTTCTGTTAAAGATCATGCATTTTATATTCAGAGCGTTTAGTTTTAAATGAAGATTAGTAAAGTGTGCTCGATGTTATTGAAACTAATTTGTAGTGCGGAGAGGGCAGAGTTAGGCGAGGTACTGGTGGTATACATAATAGTGTCATCGGCATACAGATGTGTGAGAACATGATAGGTGTTCACAGAATTTGCTACATCATTGATGCAACAACTCATGTGCCCACTGATTCCAACATTGGAACACTAGCTATGTTTACATGCGCAAAATTCTTTGATTGAAATGTATTCAGATAAAATAATCCAAACGTATTGTTTACATGAGCACAATCTGTTCACGACGAGTGTTCACATGGAGCGGGCTTTTATTCTGAACAGCAGTACTGACATTCACAGAGTGGTAAATTCTTCTTAAAAAAACACCGACGAAGAAGTTCTACTTCCGGTTTACTTCCAGGATGAACATAAACAAAGCTGAGCGCTCAAAATGGATCCGCGACAGGGTTTAATGACGGTGGAGAAGTTACTGCACTCCCTGACTGAGCTACAGGTAATACAGATCATTTTGAGCTCTTTCAAAGTTTCTAGTAGAAATGTGTGGCTCAACGACCAGTGTTGCTTCCCAGCCATGCTAATATTATTAGCATTAGCCAGGCAGAAATGACATAGGTCGCACATGCGCAGTCAGGTCAGTTTTTCACGATCAGAAAAAAAAATGAACAGAATAAGCATTTACATACACACCATTCAGATTATGAATCAGCATGAACCACCTGTCTCCTTCTGATAAAAAAAAATTTCGTATCGAGCTGAATAAACAAAAAATTATCCGAATGGAGCGTTTACATGACACATTTTTATTCCGAATAGCCATTTAATCCGATTACTTATGTCCATGTAAACATAGCTATTGTGACATCTGTACATCCCACATACCAGGCAGATGCACAACACAATCCCGTGGCTTCATGCAAACTCACAATGCAATCTCTGTCAAACTTCATCAAGTGGAGGCGAGGATGTTTTATGCTTCTACGAAGAGACCATTGACGTCTCATCTTCTTGTGACATGAATTATTTGCATACCCATCATTGACACACCATTCCTTTCAGATGCTTAACAGGTTTTTGGGTTAGTGTGCGTAATTTATGCTAAATCTATAAATCTGATACAGCTGTGAATATAACCTGAACTCTGTTCCCCAATATATGTGAAAAAAAGAAAAAAAGAACAGTCACTGTGTTTGATTTTTATCTGTTTATGCCAACACAGTGTCCACCACTGCTGCTAGGCTTTGGATTTATACTCACAATAAATTAATTTTACAATAAATTACAGCAAAACATTAATGTTACCCAACACACAGTTACATTAAAACATGCTCAATATGATATAATCCAGTGTCCTCAAAATGTTGAATCAGTGAGACACATTTCAGATGGAGTTAAGCATGTGGACTAGATTGCATGAGTTTTTTTTTATTTTTTTTGCCTGCCACATAAATAATCTTCCAGGTGTCCTTTTAAATCAGAGATTATTACAGTATAATCGTTATGAGTGTTCATACGCTTTTTTTTTATAGTGCAGTGTGAACAAACTAGACAGGAGTTGGTACAAACTGAAATGCCCTTCACCTGGACCTCTTAGTAGAGGGTATTTTACTCAATAAATTATTCTCACTCCAGGAGCTCATCAAAACATATTTTTAAATTATTTATCTAGTTCAACGTAAGTCTTGGATTATTTTAAATTGTTTTGTTTTTACAGAGCTACAGCAGTGCCCATATGTCGTTTCATTATTTTAGGCTAGTTATATCCTCTTTCTCTGAATCCAGAGTCACAATCTGAGAATATTAAAGTTATATTTCATTGTATTTGCTTCCATTTTTGTTTTGGGTATTGTTTTTTTTCTGTCTGTTTCCTGATGTGTCCCATGGTATGCTTGATGCACACCTGGTCCTTGTTTCTGAAGTATCACACCTGTACACAATTATTCACTCCTCGGTGAGTAATGCAAACATATTTGAGACATAAAGGGCATTTCTTTGAAGCTTTTGAAGGACCAAATATGTTGGATAATTTCATTATCCTGTCATCAACTCATTAATCAAATAAGACACACAGAGGATGCAAGAAGATTTTTCAATCCAGTTTTACTTGCAAGGTGGCAGCATTGAAAACAGGCTTACAAAGGAGTTATACGAAGCTCTGGTCCAAGGGTCTGCCTGCGTTCAAAGGGTTAGGAAAAGCTTAAACACTCGTTATCAGACAGAGGCGAGGTCAGGACGACCTCTGCTTCACAGCTCACAGTTTTTGAAGGCGTCAGAAGTTATCTGTTATCAGACTCCTCTCTGAGTAGACAGAAAGACTCTCTGGACTTCACGCACATGGTTCTATATTAATTTAACATTAGTAAGCGATAACATCCATGACCTTTACATAACTTCCCCCATCATCTACCAATTTGCAGCCATTTGATTGTCAGTCTCGGCCCTTAAAATCAGTTTATCTTAAGTCCTGTCAATTTTTTTTTCTATTTCTTCAGCTGGCTACTTTCTCACTGGATGAGGACCCTGCACAGTTTGTTAGAACATGGTTTGATTGCAAAATATTGAAGAAACTTTCTTCAGTGTGTAGGCAATTGTCAGGGGAATTTAGGTAAAGATTTATGGATGTGTATCACTGCTAATGTTATCACTGTGAACATTTCCTGTGCACTGTCCGGTGCAGATCTTCATGAAAAGGGGCTTCAGTGAGACCTCTGTGTAAGCCATGTGAACTCTGCCCTTGTAAGTAAACAGCGTTAAAAAAATCTTCTCCTGTCTTCATGTGTGGCTCTTTTTAAGTACGAAAGGATATTTTTATCCAACAACAATCATGGCAAGACACTTGGGTACAAGTCTTCCATATGCTCCAGTATGGAACCCAATACACATGCATTATGATTAAAAAAACACCACAACCATGAAATGTATGCTTTGTTCCTGTTCAAAAAT